ATTTTATTTTTTTTGTTGTGTTTATTTTTAAAAATTGGAGTTCCATTTAAATTTTTAGCGCTTAATTTGTCAACCACATGTTGCCAGAACACAAATAGCGGTGTGAGACTAAGGTTCACTGATACTGGAACGCACACAACACAATGCTTAAGCGCACAAATATCAAACTACCAAACCAGTTCATTTTTATAACTTACTTTTAAACACTTTATGTGTAATTTATAAGTGTATTAAGTGCAGGATCATTTCTTACATTACTAGTTGTTTAGTATTTCCCACACCGCGTGCAGGTGCTCCACCTCCTCCTCCTCCCACCTTGCTCTGTGTCTCTGTAGAGAGAAGCTTTAAAAAAAAAAAAAAAAAAAAAATGAAGAAAGTAAATGGGATTGTCTGTTTGACATTTTGATCGCTGTTATTTTGACAAATTGGCGTTGTTGTTTTGAGTTTGTTTGGGGCGGCTGTAGCTGAGTGGTTAGAGCAGTCGTCTTCCAATGCAAGAGTTGGGGGTTCTAATCCATCAGCAGTCACATGCCTAAGTGTCCCTGGGCAAGACACTGAACCCCTCACAGCCTCTGATGTGTGTCCCATCAGTGTATGAATGGGATAAAGCACTGATCAGTCTCTTTAGAATGATTTGTTCAATTATCTTTGTAGAGATCTAGTAGAGTGTTGTGTGAATGGGTAAAAGAGGCACAGATTGTAGAGTAAAGTGCTTTGAGTATCTTGAAATAAGATGGAAAGGTGCTGTATAAGTACAGTCCATTTACCATTTACCATATGTATGGTTTAATAATGTATTTTTAAAATTCAGTTTCAATTCAATTCATTTTATTTATATAGCGCCAAGTCACAGCAGAAGTCGTCTCAGGGCACTGAACTGAAACCTTCATATATAAAAATAATAATTTAACATTATTTTTCTGAGGAGCAGACTGCTTTGAGTTTAACTCCATCACAGAAAAAAATAATAAAAATTGTATTAATGACTCACTTAAACTGTAAAACTGATTTGCAATGTACTTTGTAGTTGTGCTGTTTTATTATATTTTTGTGTTTTTAGTTAAATTGCCCGTGACTGAACTTTTAGGGGCGGGGATTTTTTTAAGATTAGAAGTGGAAATGTTTACTTGAAGGAGCAGCTCTTGTGTGATATTAGGAAGCTCGTAAGTGGCTGTTGTGTTTAAAATTAATGTTGATGTAATTGTTTTCAGTTTACATATCCAGTATAGGTTGTATTCATTCAAGGCAGTCAAATTCGTTCATAACTTTATTATTAGTAAGTCTGAGACTTACCAGATCCAAGCAAACAGTTACCAGAACGCACCCTGTCAAAACAAGAGAGTTCCCGATCCTGTTACAGCAGGATCCAGCTCAAATTTAGCCCTGGTTATTTTAAGGTAAGATAAGATAGAACTTTATTGATCCTGCAGGAAATTGTTGTGCCATAGTTTCAGTACACAAGGAATCACACAAGGTATAAAAGAATAAGAGAAAATATAAAAAAATACCAACAATTAAGTTCTAAACAGGTCAGGTGCAGACAGAAACATTAAAGTGTTTATTGTAGTACAGGATTAATTTTATTGTCCTGTGTGCAGAAAGGGGGAGGAGTTGAAAAGTCTGATGGCCACAGGGAGGAAGGACTTCCTGTTTTGTTCTGTGGAACACCTCGGTGTCTCAGTCTACGACTGGCGGTGAGAGTCCAGGGTGTCATGCAGGGGGTGTGACGTGTTGTTCAGGATGTAGAGCAGGTTCCTCAGTATCCTCTGCTCAGACACCTCTGTCAGAGACTGCAGGTCCACTCCCAGAACTGAGCCAGCTCTCCTGATGTGTTTATTGAGTCTGTTGGCATCAGCTTTCTTCACCCTGCTGCCCCAGCACACCACAGCGTAGAAGAAGACGCTGGAGACCACCGAGTGGTAAAACATCTGCAGCTATGGCAAGCCCTTTTAACATAAAATCGAGTAGTCTGACTATCATTAGTTACATTCTAGATATCTTAAATTGAGTTTTGACTAGGCACAATTACATTTTGACTAGTCAGAATGCTAATTTAAGATATCTTGAATTGTTATTCTGACTAGTCAGAATAACAATTCAAGATATCTTGAATTACATTTTGACTAGTCAAAATGTAATTCAAGATATCTTAAATAACCAATATGTCTAGTCAAAACTCAGTTTCAGATATCTGGAATGTAAGCGTGGTGAATCCTATTTTATGTTAAAAGGGCTTGCCATACTGCAGCATGGTCCTGCAGACGTTAAAGGACCCGAGTCTCCTCAGAAGAAAAAGGCGACTGCTGCTTCTTGTAGAGGGCGTTGGTGTTAGCTGTCAGACAGAAGCAGTTCATTAACACCCTAGAACATTTAAAAGGCAAACTTAGAATCTGTCTGAATGATGTGGCTCCATTTTTTTTCTTTATTACATTAAAAAACGTGTTTGAATCAGTTCAAAAAGATACCAGGGTTTAAGGTGTTTATCCGTCTTCCAACCTTTCCAAGAAGCACCGGTCTGAATGACGGATAAGAAAGTGCCATCAGCGACTCCTAACCTTCTGCACCAATCTTCAGCTAAACGGTAACGTTTATTTAAGCAGCTGTTTAGTGTTCTGAACAATCTGAAGCTGAGCAGTTGTGTAGCTGTGCGTAACATAATGAGCTTCTCATACCATCTCACTGATAAACATTTTCTTTGCCTTCAGTGTGACTTTTAATGAAGTGGAAACTTATAGTTTCCCTCTCAGTTTGTCTGGAGCGACCCTATTCGGAGGGACTCAGCTCATTAAATGGGGGTAAATAAGTGCCTCCTTGCACGTCTAACGTTCTCCTCCAGAGGGCACAATCGTTATGTCTCCATATCTGCTTGTTACTGCTACTCCAAACCTTCAGGTCAAGCCAATTAGGAGGAAGTGAGGTAAGTGAGGGTAATTAGCCTTTTGCTTTGGGTGTTTAATGACGCTCAGTTCAAACTGTCCTCATTAAAGTCCTGTACCTGGGCCATAATTAGGCTGTGAATACATTCAGAAGGAGGTGACTATGCCAGATGGACACAATTATTGCTCAGCCAATCAAGGGCTGTCTTAATGAGCATCGTGGTCATTTGAGTACAGGCACCAGATGAGCGCTATTAGTCAGATACTACGTGGAGAAGCTTGAGACTATAATGCCCCATATAGTCAACGCTGTGTGATAACATTAAAAACACATATCAAAGAAACATTTTAAATAGTTGCTGATAAGCCTGCCTGTTTTAAGAACTAGAAAATGGTTTTATTTGCTGAAATGACTAAAGGGCAGTCCCAGTCAGTAGAGGTCTTTGGGTAAAGTTTGCTTAAGTCTCTGAAAAGCTGGAGGCTTAAATCTGATGTAAACCACATTTGTCATTTTTCTGCAGACTGGGGCTTGATATTTATGGCTCTGAAAATGGGCTTCACTTCTGATTCGTTTTGGTAGCCGCCATCCAAATTGCCTTCCCAGGAAAGCAGGAGAGCCAGGAAGGGTGCAATGGCTCTCTGTCAACTTTAAAGTGGCTCTTCTCAAATTGGCCCTTGTTTGCTCTCACTCTCACACACAGGAAGCCACATCAGAGTTCACCTTGAACACTGTAAAACGGTCAGATCTTACATTTATTTGGACTTCCATCATTTTCTTTGCATCTTTTCTTTTTGCCCCAGGGTTTCTGGTGGACATCTTCGGTGACTACAAGTACCTGTTCTTCATGTGTGGAGGAGTGATTATTGCTGGCGGGGTGTTTCTCTTCGTCATGAACATGTACAACTACCACATGCTAGAAAAAGAGAACAGCCTCGAGAACCAAGAGGAGGCGAACGACGCAGAGGAACAGACGGACCTGAACGAGCCGGAGGCGATGGACATGAACTCTGCCAGACAACATCCAGAGCTGGAACACGACAGAGAAACAAATTAATCAGAGCTACAGACTGATTTTAAAATGACTTGTTAAAAAACTTGCCCTCTGCCATTAAAGTCTTACTGATGAGATGGAGCACAAGTAAAAGAAAGCCAAAAAGCTTTCATCCATTGAAAATGTTGGGTACATCTCGGATTCTTAAATATATATTTTTACCTGTAATATTGTATGATGGTACTTTAAGATGTTCAAGTTTAGACCAAAGCCTACTGCTCCAAATATATCAGCCACAGTGCAACGCTGGCATCGTCGGCCAGTGTCCACGGTCACGGTTTCAAAACCACTACAATATTTTTTTTTATCAAAGATTTTTTTTCTGTTTAAACATTTTAATGACATTCCAGAGCCAATGCAGAGATTTCTCAAGAGAAGAATATAGAGGAAACTCCCGCTCCCCCTTACGGTTCCTGCGAGCTGTTAGTCAGTGGTGGATGACAGCAGAAGCAGGGAAAACTTAAACGTTGCACCTAATTAGAAAAATAATTAAGTTGACTGTAAGTTTTAGGTACCAAAAACAGACGTTCATGGCTTAGCCATCAATGCATCTTCCTGATCGTTCCTTTCAAAGTACAAGTGTTTCGACACGAACAAGCTACAAGAGTTAGCATCTCTACAGTCAAACGGAAGACGCGCTAACGTTAGCTTGTCCAGCTCAACGTCAGGTTATAAAAACAAACACGGCAGGGAAGAGTTCAGGTTTACCTCAATAGATACAAATGTTTAATGGTATTATTATAAAATGTACTCACTTAAAGAAACTGGTACCTTTTTTGTTGTTATCTACCTGGATGATTGAGCGCACAACCCTTTTTCTGAACCACTTTGGCCTTGGTTGTCCTCAGGCTGTTTCTGTGAGTAGCAAGTTGACCATCTGACCTAAAACATTTGATTGTTATATGATTGATTGTTTTGCACGTGTTAAAAGTCTACCTTTGAGATTCCAACAGAAGGTTGGCTTGAAACACAGCACTGAAGGCTACTTATGGGACAGATCTGGTTGGCAGGCCGTAGACTGAGGAAGTCCTCTGGATGGATGGGGGACGAAACGTTTCTCACTTAAAGAAACTGGTCCAGATGACATGATTTAACCTTTTTTTGTTAGGTGGTAATAATTCTGTATTTTTGTCCAGGTCTTCAGCCATTATTTAAAAACACCCTGCAGGCTCGTTGTGTTCGCTGAACATTTATTATAATGAGAGCAAAACTATCAACATATTCACTTACTATCTATTACTATTGCTATTTAAATCTAAATGACTCAAAATAAACAACATAAACATTATTACTGCTACTTTAATTCAATAGTCCTTGAAGGAATGCTTATCGCCAGCTACCTTTCCAGAGAGTTTGGAACTAAAATCATTTTTTATTGATTAACCTCAGAGGTATAGCTGTTTTAGTTAAACTGTGAAAAGGACATTCTGCACAATCTCATGCCTTAACTGTGTGTTGTGAAGGACTCAGCTGTATTTTAGCTCAATGTCTGTAAAATTAACTTAAAGCCATTTATGTGTTGCTACGGTTAATTACCTTTGGCTGTAGCAGCACTACTTTTAGCAGGTTTGTACTTTTTATTTTAAATCACTTTTTTTTTTGTTTTCATATTGTGAAATTGTGGTGCTTTTGCTCAAGGTTATCTAAAACATGTCAATATCTTATTCTGACCCATGCCTGGCTGATTCTGTCCAATATTTAAAGACTCCAGCTTTGCACACACACAGTTTACAACATGTGCTGCTTTACCATTACTACTATGTAGCACAAAAATGTGTTCATTAACAGAAACAAAGTACAAAAAGTGTATTTTAAACCACAATTCAGCCATTACATTATGCCTGGGACCAGTCAGGGCGTTGACCAAGATCATGTGAATTTGTTCCAGGTGTCTGGTTTAGGACTATTTCAGTGGTTTTTGTTTGGTTTTGGGTTCTGAGTCCACTCTGTGGTAACACGTGTCAGGATTGTTGAGGTGCATCGATGCATCATTCATGAGAATGTCAGGGTGCTGTCTTCTACAGAAAAAACAAGAAGTCGGATTATTAATTCATTATTTGGTGCAAATATTGGAGCCACAGTGAACTGGGATCAACTGTTGAACACTTTATGCTGCTTTACACAACTTTCATGACCTTTATTCTCATTTCGTCTGTATGGATTACAGTGATGGTCTGTTTTGATTTCTTTATTCGTAAATGCACCAGTCCTGCTTTCCTTTATGTGACTTCTTCTTATTCTCATTAAATCTACAGTCTTTTCTGTGAAAACAATAATTTTCCATAATGTGAAGAACCTCAGGGGAATGGTCGTGGAATATTTAGCTTCTTAATTATTTTATTTTGACAGCAGGTTATGTTTTTTGTTTGTTTTGCTCATGCAGCACCACATTTGTATAATATTCTGCAAGTGCAAATATAATTTTTTTTAGAATAATTTATTGTGACGCTTAATTATCCATAAATAATTTGTACCAAACAATAGTCTTTTGTTAGTATTTATAAGAAAAATTGGACTTTAATATTGAAATGCAGAAAAGCTGATGCACATTCCTCAGTGATGTCATCGCTCTGTGGTGACATTTAGTCGTGACATTTGATATTTGGGTGAGAACAGATTTGTATTCTGTAAATTGGCTTGTTGAAGTTTGTTGCTGCTCATGTGAGTTAATGTTTATCCTCAGACTCAGAGACGATCGAAATAATAGAAGTAATCCCAATAATGGCAACCTAATTATATTTTTATACAATTTATAATTTCCAGAGACATTTTTTTTACACGTGTGTGTGTAGAGATTGTTTCATGAAATAAAAATCTGCCATCTTAAATTCTGTATTTGTGATGTTAATGTTTGGTAAATTCACATTTTACTAAATACACAGGCCTAATGAATTATGAATGCCAAAACATTGTATAAACATAGGGCTACTAATCTACCATATTTTTTGGCGTATAAGTCACGTTTTTTTGTTGTTGCATAATTTACATGCCCTGCAACTTATAGGCGACATATTTATGGATTTTTTCCCCCCACATTTATAAACCAATTTTTGGCTGCGATATGACCATTTTCATTCATTCGGACTAAAGAAAAAAAATTGAACAGTACTATTTTCAACCACTAGATGGCAGCAGAGTAGTAGTAGTAGTAGGACATGCCGTTGTATCATGTAATAGGTAAACAAGGCTATAATGACAAATTCAAAAAAGTTCAAGACAAAAACAAATGGAGTTTATTATAGTTTACTTTATACTTTATTGTTTTTGTCTTTAACTTTTATTTAATTTACCATGTCTGGATGACTGAGAAGCTTCACCAGCTATTAATGACACAATCGGCTTGCCATAGTGCCCCCACCTTCGTTCTACTTGTTGCTTGGATCAACCATCAAACCAGCTGCACCGCCCTGACGAAATGCAGCTAATTTGACCATTAAAGTGCATTTATTAAGTAAAAGTTCAACTGAGACACACCTATGCTATAATTTTGAGCAAACAAATAATTTGTTTAGGTGCTTTTCTTGTTACATTTCCAAGAAATGAGCAGTGTTCCTCTTTCTTTTCCTCCCTCTGTGCGCTCCTGGAGCACTGAGGCAGCATTTACGTATGAAATACAGCTGATTTGATTGTTAATGTCATTTTATTAAGCAAATGTTAGACTGAGACACACCATTACTATAAAGTCGAGCAAACAAATAATTGTTTTTAGGTGTTTATTTTGTTAAATTTCAAAGAAATGAATAGCGGCTTGTCTCTGAGTGTGCATGCTTACGCAAATTGGGTTTTGAAATACAGTTGATTTGACCGTCAAAGTGCATTTCTTAAGCAAAAGTTAGACTGAGACACACATTTACTATAATTTCAAGCAAACAAATAATTGTTTTTAAGTGTTAATCTTGTTAAAGTCCTCCCGTGCATGCTCCCACGGCCACCATTTGGCAACTGATCGATTTTTGGCACAACACCGGCCCACATTTCCGGGTTGTCAGCGGTGATGCATAACTGATGGGACATACTTATGGATTTTTCCACTTTAATAGACATATTTGGACTGATGCGACTTATATGGCAGAGCGACGTGTACGGTGGAAAATACGGTAGCTGAATTTATTACATCTCCTTTATTGTGGTATTCAGGACATACGAAAGCATGTTCCTCTTTCACCCAGTGAGCTAAATGACACTCATTCTCGTGAGAAATGCCATCAAACCCAGATGTAGCGTTGAAGCTTAGCGTTGGTGTCTCCGTTCTGATTTTCCACGACAATTAGAAGACTGGGGAACAAGTTTGGAAATGTCAGCAGCTTAAGGGTGTGAGTGTCTAATGAAGCGAGGCCCTGATGTTCCGGGCTACTGCTCCAAGCTGCACGCAGCCTCATACACATCAGCAAATCATTGGGCCAATAAATTAGAACCTTAGAGACAAATGCACATACACGCATAGTCCTTTTTCCTCCCCCTACCTCCTGTCCCTTTGTTGAGTATTACACAAGGTCTTTGGACGTGACAAGGTGGAAAGGTTCCCCAGAGACAAGGCTGTGGGCACTGTGGCTGGGAATCTGTTCATCATTATTATATTCCAGCTCGCCTCTTGCTCCCCTCTGGCCTGCCGACCCTCCGCTGCAGACCGCCCTTCTCACAGTGTTTGTTTCTGCAGAGCTCCGTGACTGTTTTCCTCCAAGCTCAGAGAAAACAAGGACTGGTGTGTCTCTCGAGGATCGTGGAGTGGATCAGGTTGAAAAATACAGTGGAACAGAGAAAATCTACTGTCCTGAATAACAAACCATGAGGTAGTGTATTAGTGTTCCACTTTGTAGGAGCATCAGTGTTGCACTACTTTTATTAGACCATGCATGTGATGGCTGCATCGTAGAACGGTTTGCTTAGAACTGTTGCTTTGCAGGAAAAATGTTTTCTCCAGGCACTTTGCTTTTTTCCTACAGCCAAACAACTTATACGTAACTTTAAGTGGTAACTCTTAATTGTTTTAGGACAAAGTGGGAGAGAAAATGTTTTCGTTAAGTTCCTGTGATGGATTGGTGACCTGTCCAAGGTGTATCCCCCAATG